TTAGTCAGCTTTCACTTCTCACCTTTTCAAATATTCAATTTCTTTTCCTTTTTTTTTTTTTTTTTTTTCTGAATGTCGATTCACCAAAACTGGATCAGGTTATATGACAACGTTTTTCATCCTTTCATTCAAAACCACGTTTTATTCTTGCGATCTATAGTATTTAAGAAACAGTGTCAGAAGCTAATTCATACTCTATATAGGATCTTTAACTATTTAGATTAGTCTCTGCTTTGCACAACCACGTAACTTCTGCATTTTACTTTCAGTGAGGTAGCAAGCACGAGCCCACGCTATAGTGTAGTACATTCTACTTGCTATACATATATATAATAGTTATATATCCTATATATATAATCTTTGAACTATTTTTACACCATCTTTGTTAGCTTCTGCATCAGGAATATATCCAACAAATTCGAGGCTACTAACTTCCACATTCAAATGTTTTCAAAGTTCTTGCTACTCTGATCTTCAACGATTCCTTAGGGGCGGAAGGTGGGCGGGACCATATGAAGGAGTCGAAGAACTATTGATGGTATTTGTCAATTTGAATTTGCAATTCTTTTTAATATATCTTTCCAAAGACCTTTTCCCAAGATTGTATAGCTCTACATTATCAACAATGTTATCTCCGAATATTTGGAAATGAGGTATATGAGGTAACCGATTCTTCAATATATTGTTCAAAGCTAAAAGGTTTTAGCTAGTCTAATTTTCTGGTTCAATTGATGATAGACCAAAAATTATTCTGCCGTTTTAATAATTAAATTTTTTTTTTTTTGGTATTCTACTTGCTACATATGCATAACTTCCTGGTTCTTACTTTCTTTAAAGAAGCAAGTACAAGCCCACGCTATGGTGTGGCATATTCTACTTTCTACTATGCATATACACTTAACTATCATATGTTTCTTTCACGTGGTTCACATAGACTGATTCCAAAGATAATTGAATGCCTTAATGTAGCGCTTCAAACCATTTTAATACCATTTGTATTGGCTTTCATACTGAAATATACCCAAGGAATTCATCAGTTGTATGACTACTGATTTTCATATTCCAATATTTCTAGGCAAGCAGGTCTCTTATTACTTCAATTCACAACAGTTTCTTAAAGTGGGTGGGGT